TCAGTATAATATATATACCGATATAATTTCAAAAGAGATATGAAATTAGACAATACTGTTTGTACCGATATAGTTTGATGTTGAGTTAACTTCTGTTAAGTCCTGCCAGCGTTTGCTCCTCCCTCTCCCTCACTGCGCAGCGCCGCCCTTCCCTGTGTGTCTGCACGCAGCCGTTTACTCACAAGGTATCAACAACATGGAGGGACACACCGTGCCGGTAGTTCATTCAGTGTTTCCCACAAATACACTTTACTTTGGCATTCCGCTCAGGTTAGGCAACACATTGTAGCATTTGCCAGAGAAATAGTTATAGTGATGGATCCATGTGTCTTTTTTAGGGTTAGTGCTAATGTCTCTAATCTAATCTTCTAGGTAGCTAAACTTCCCCAGAACAAAAATTCCATAAAAATAATGTGTGAATCTCATCTTATCCCCTGCCACTTTCTAATGCCATATCATACTGAGAAAGCACCTTGCTCAGTCCTGTGAGTAATTTGACAGGCAAATTACTGCTAACCTAGGGTGACTGTGAAATAAATATATTAGTGTGTTACAGCATAATTAAAAGGGCACAGGGCTAAATCTATTGAGATTCATATGTTTGTATATGTCACAGAAATGGAAGTTGAAGGAAAAGGTCTGACCTGGTCATCCAGGCCAGTTGTGTATGTTTATCTGTTTGCTTTTTCTTGATATAACCTGGATACATTCAATGATGCTTGTTTTGACCCTGTTTCACACTCACTCGATAATGCATACACACACCTGGGAGCTGCCATGTCCAACCACCATCTCTTAATGCTCATCACTAAGTAGCTCCACTGGTGCATGGCTAGCATCAGTTCCTCAGCTGTTATTCGCTGTAGGCCTTGGCAGTAAGCAAGCTAGCTGGCTGCTAACAGTCCAGTGTTTGTCTCTGTGCCGTAAGAGTTTTATAGCCCATGAAATATTCATTCAACACAAAGTCTAAAGAATACTGAATACAGTAAAATACTTTTGACTGGCAGCTGAGAAGGATTCAAAGCTGTAAGGAGCTCTGGTTATGTATGTGTTTGTGTGCATGTGCCTGCTTCTATGAACATGTGTATACCTTATATGTAAAAAGGTTGCATAGAACGTTGTGTGTGTATATGCACTTGGCCTACAATATGATTATAGTCTGCAATATATTTGCAGGCACAAATGTCCATCAATGCTCCGCAGTGTCTGCTCTGCTCTGGATACACCTGTCAGCATTTAGTGAGAGCAGAGCAAAGAGAGAGGGCAACTCCAAGCACTGACATTCAGAAGTCTGGGAAAAGTACCTTGACTACAACTTCATTATCAACACCATCACCATCTGGATTGGCAAAGTCAGACCTCAACAACCTTGTTTAAAAAATGCTTGAGATGATTTCTTTTCTGTGATTTTGATTACATGTGCATTACAGTGGTAGTTAAATGTGATTTAACGTGATTTTTCACTGAGTTCATGTGATCTAGAAATGCAGACAAATTAGATTTTATCTCTTTAGTTGCCATATTTTTCTTTGTCCGTGCAGACTTGTTGGATGTTGTTGATCATGCTAATTACCTTCATGTACTACAAATTTTGTTTATTTCAAACAAACTGCTCTTGCTTCTGCAGGCAATGTGAAACACTTCTCGTAGTTTGCACATACCAATTTTCTCTTTGAATGGGCTGCAGTACTCTGGCTAGAAAAACCTTTCATGGACTGTATGAATGTAGTGATAGAGCTGCTATAGTATTATATCAAAGGCCATCAGAGTGCAGCTGAGCAGACATTTTAATAGAGGAAATTATTACTTAAACGCGTAATAATAGGACATTAGAATTGTCCCTTTCATTTAATAAACATTATTACTCTTGGGCTGAAAATCATCTAATTGATTTTGTCATATTTGATGTCGGTGGCGCTCTTTTGTTGTTCTTGCTTGTCTGTATTCACTCATTTGATTGGCAGCTGATCCATGACACTACCCTTCTGGACTCTTAGGCCCAAGATGGTCAGTCAGACAAATTACATCCTTTTAACACAGCTGTCAATCAGACACTTAGTGGACTGAGCCGTGGGAGGGGGTGATTATTTTTGTTTGAGAAAGTCTCCGACAGTAACCGTTGGACTCGCTGACCCACACAAATACATACACACTTAGAATTGGTAAATAATAAGAAACATGACACAAGTATTATCTACTGTATATTGTACAGTATCTACAAGACACCCACCAACACACACTTAAATTTATTAAACAGTAACTCACTGGCCTCCTTCCTCACATTAACACACCTACTGCATCCTCCCATTGATATTCATAGTCACAGCATCGCATTAACCTGAATCTCTGTGCAAATAGGGTGCTTCCTTGTTCACTCTCTTAAAGGGGATTTGCAGGAGGCTTTTCTTCTTTTAAATGCTGGGGGGAACCTAATTTGGGGGAGATAGTTAATGAAAAGATGCTCACACAAGACCCTGATATTCAGTAGAAAGAGTATTGACAGGGTTAAGTGGGGGAGTGGTCATCCAAAAGATCAAAACCAGCAAAAGACAGGGGAAGAGAGGAATACAAACCCCCAGACCTGTCCACTTTTATAGAAAAATAAAATGTAAGTAGCTACTTTTTCAATGGTGTAGAGCCTGGCAACGTAGACCGCACAGTTGGAGACAAAATCCTGCCAACTTCCAGCAAAGCTCCCAACGTCCCTCCATGAGGGGCTTTGTTGGAATGGCAGCAGTTTATTCAGTACTGTTAAAAATAAAAATGAGAAGAAAGAAATATGAGATGATTAAAATAGAGAATGAGACCAAATTGGGCAAATCCCATAGGTACTATTGATCTGTGGCACACACACACACACACACACACACACACACAGAGTATCACTCAAGCTGGCTGCCAAGAAGCATTCTGGTGGTCAAATATGTATAATTGATAGAGTTGAGTTTGACACAGCTCTGTAATGTAATCTGGGACTAGAGTCCCCATGGTGTGTGTGTGTGTGTGTGTGTGTGTGTGTGTGTGTGTGTGTGTGTGTGTGTGTGTGTGTGTGTGTGTGTGTGTGTGTGAGTGAGTGAGTGAGTGAGTGAGTGAGTGAGTGAGTGAGTGAGTGAGAGACTGTGAGAGGCAGGTGAGTGGGGGAATGAAGCAGGGTGAAGGAGTGTAGTGGGTTGCTGGAAGAAGGGACAGGGATTTGCTCAGGGGACTCGGTGTAAATTTGATATATTGGGCAGCAGTATTTTTCTTCCCTGCACCAACCCGATGGGTTACACATGTAGGAACAATGGCCTTCTCTACTGTAATGGGCTTTTACCAGGAGGGACCACTTTATCACTCACACACTGTGTGTGTGTGTGTGTGTGTGTGTGTGTGTGTGTGTGCTTTTTCACTTCATTCACTTACAAGTGGTCATATTATGCTCATTTTCAGGTTAATAATTTTATTTAGGGGTTGTATCAAAATAGATTTACATGGTTTCACTTTCAAAAAAACACCATATTTTTGTCATACTGCATATTGCTGCAGCTCATCTTTTCACCCTGTGTGTTCAACGCCCTGTTTTAGCTATGGAGTGATGCATCTCACTTCTAAAAGATCTTTGTTGGGAGTTGCACATATGCAGTTCCTAGTCAAGGACTACAAGCCAATCAGAAGCAGAGTAGTGCGGACCCTGAAAATCCAGTAAACACGGCTTCGGTTCAGCTGTATATGTTCCCTTTACCAGCGTAGAAACATGGACTGGAGCAAGAATTTCAGAGTGGTGAGTGATTAATTAGTAACAAATGTATCCAAAAAGTTTTAACTGTGCACTGTCTCTACCTCACAGTAACAACTTTATGACTGCCTCATTGACTGCCTGGAGGGTGGCTAATGTTTGGAAGGGAGAGGAGAGGCAGCTGGTGGACGTCTTGTCATTGTGTGCTGTAGCTCAGAGTGTTTTTCCACCAGTGTGTTTTTGAGGGCGTGTCGGAGTAGTTGCTAGGAGAGCATTATGACGCATATTTCGCTGTAATGTCATAGCAAAGCAGAAGAAAAGGCTGAACTGCAAACAAGCAGTTTTCAGGCAGTTCAGAGCAGTTTTTTCTGTGGGAGATTCTGTGGGGTTTTTCACTTTGCAAACCTATTACATGCACAAAAAAGGTATATAACTCGATAAAGGAGAGGGGAAAAAGCCAAAAAGCATAATATGACCTCTTTAATAAAGTTTACCATATGAAAGAAAACACAGCACTGTATAGGCCTATATGCAATCTGTATTCTAATGCATTTAAGTTTTACATTTGATGTGTTTCGGTGTGCTGAAGCGATTATTGATTAATCGTTTAGAACAATTTTAATAATTAATTCATTGTGTATGCCGTTAAGCAAAAGTTTTCTGATATGCGAGCATTTGCTGATTTTCTCTTTTTTTTTTATATCATTGTAATCTGAAACTCTGTGGGGGCAACTGCATTAGTTAGTGTTGGGTCAATCAAATCAAGTAATTTTGTAAATGTCACTTTGAGCTTTTGAGATTTCACTTTAAAAAAAAAAAATGTTTTCAACCTTTACTTGTTTTGTCAAACAATAAATGAATTAATAAATAATAAATAATTTTTAGTTTAATTTATGATGAAAATGAGCATCCTTTATATATACAGAACTATGAGTTCATATAAAATAGTGCTTGTGTGTTTCATGTCTTGATTTTAGTGTATTTTCCTGTCTGTGTTTCATGTCTTTTTTTGGTGTGTGTGTGTGTATTTTCCTTGCTTTGTGTCTGCCTGACAGTGCTCCTGCTTCTTTGTTCTTCTGTCACTGTGTCTAGTTTAATTGCAGGCCTTTGAGGGGGAATCGATTTGAGCAACCAGATAACTAAGTTATCAAACTGTTTCATTGACTGGCTGTCCCTTCTCTTTCTATCTTTTGCCTGCTCCCTGTTTCTTCTCTCATTTTCCCCTCCTTGTCTTCCACCTCTATGCTATCTCCCTTGCTGTTTTTTGCCTCTACCCTCACAACAGGCCGACAGACCTGTCCACCAGAGAAGTTTGATTGCGGAGGGGCTGCCAGCAAATGTGTTTCATTGTCGTGGCGATGTGACGGCGAGAGGGACTGTGAGAACGGGGCAGATGAAGAGCAGTGTGCTGCAGGTGAGTTTGTGTTGCGTGGTGGAAATGTTGGATGGAGGGGATGGGAAAAAAGCTTGGAAGAGTTTTGCTTTGAACTTAACTTTCATTTCTTGTCAAGCACTGTGGGCAAAAGTATGAAAAGCCTTAAACTAAATAATCTACATTTTAAGCTTCACAATGCGGCTTTGCAGGGTTAACAGATGCTTTCAAAAGAACAAAACTACATTTCTTATATTTGAAGGACTTTATTACCCAGAAATAATGTGACACGAGTAAACTGCAGTTGTGTTTTTCCAGTCACTGCTGGCTGCTGGCATCAGAGATGATGAAGAAAATTGTTTTGCAGGAGGTTAAATGACATCATTAGTGAATCCAGTGTTCTCGGTACAGAGTACTCATTTTCTGCTATTTGTTTACTGCATGTGCTCTCTTTGATTAATACAGAATACAAATTGCATGATCTGTAGAACGTGTTTTCCTATCTGCTCAACTGACAAAAACTATTTATTTTTCACGTGATGAAATGATGGATATTAAATTTTGGAAAATGCATAATATAGCACTGAATAACATACTTGTACACCTCTCTTTTGCAAACTGAAGACCTTGCAAACTGTTCAATTGCTAAAGAGGTTGACGATTTTAAAGGAGGCAGGAACAGCAGGGGTGAGCAGAGAAACAATGATAACAAAAAATAGAAGACTGAAAATTGTTATGTCGGAGGTGAGAACCAGAGACAAGTGGAAAAATGAGAAAAAGGTCCCATGTGATAATGTTTCAAGAAATGTAGTATTAAGGCACCTCTTGTTTCAGTAATAACTACATTGCATGATGTGTTTTTACAGAAGGTTTTTTAGACCCTGCCGTGATGATCAATCTTAAATTCAGATCTAAAAGAATACTTAAAAAAATGTCAACTGGGTATATGTGGCTTTTACCGGATATGAGGTATACAAACCATGCAGAGAAGTTTCAACCCAGTCACCTGGCTTGTCACATATTTGAAGATTCAGTAAAAAATCTAGTCCAAAAAGCAGCCAGGAGTATTTTTAACTCAACGTCAAAGTTGCCAGAAAAGTTGAATGTTTCATCTTTTCATTTATTTATATATATTTTCTGTGTTATGTGTCTAGAGATGTCAAACATGATCTGTTTTTCATCCCTGCAATCATCTGCTTGTTCTTGGCTGTTGCTTGATGAGCTGGAAATGGGGAAAAGCAGGTCATTATGCAGACTGGGAGAGTTGGACCAATGGTGTTTTACAGAAGAGAAAACCAGTTGTGTATCTTTCAAGACTTCTCTTATACACCACTTTTTCCTATTTTAACATACATGGACTGACATTCAAAAACATACTCACACCAATGCAATGTGATATGCTCATACACAAGGTTTAGCTTCCTTTATATGAAATCTATACAATAGTTTTGTGAACAAACCACAGACATACACACACTTCATATGCAACACCCTCACCCGCAAAACCCTTTTGTATTTTTATATACACATACACTCACACTCAATCACATTATCTAGCCTACATCGTCACAGCTGGCATCAAAGCTGCGAAAAGGGCATTGATTTTCATCAGCATAAACATCTGGCCTTCAGCTGTATTGATTTTAAACACACATGCACACACAGCATTTTTTTGAAGAATATAGATTACATGTAATATTTTCCCATTACATTCCCCACATCCCTACCTGTGTATTGTTAGATTGAAAAATAAACCACTTTAAATGTATATGTACAGCCAGTTTCTGACTTTTTGTATAAACATCTTTATGTGGGGATCTTTGAGACAACTTTTGGATCTTCAGAGTAATTACACTTTTGTGGAGTGAAGGTGAAGTCATTCTGGCCTGTTATTGTCACTATTGTAATGAAAAAGATACAGTGAATGTAGCAGGAAAGAGTTATTGATAGAATAGAACTACAAGGTTGTGTGTGTATGTGTCTGATGCATCTCAGTGTCCATAATGTTGCCATCATCGCTCAGGCACTTTGACATTCACACATTCTCATGCTGAAAGTGATGCTTAAAATGCAAGCATGCACACTAGGGACTTGCACAAGCACGTATAATTAAGTACACACACTGTAAGACTGCTTCTGGATACTGTTAAATTCTCTCAGTCTGTCCCTTATGGTCACAACCAAAGATGTATAAAATAGTAAGTGAAACTACCATGTTTAATGAACTTCACTGATTCCAGAGGCAATTTAGATAAAATGATATCAAAATTTTAATTAATTTTAATTTCAAGTTGTGTAATCTTATTGCTTCAAATACCCTAGGTACCCCCAGGGTATTTGAAGCAATGAGCATGGTAATCTAACAACAACTAGCTAAAACAGAAACACCCAAATGTATGTTAAATACTATTATAGTATTAACTAATATTATTAAGCTACTGCTGTTTACTGTAACATGCTCCATTTAAACCATGAATATAAATGCCAGAAGCTCACCACACCAGTCACATGGATACATTGTAAGTACATTTCATGCCCACTCTACGCTGTTAAAGGTCAGTTTTTACTTCAGTTTTATTTACATTGAGGCATCCTATGTTTTGCAGCATTGTGGCTTAAACCTATAGACTGTATAAAAGAAGTAGATGTAGCCACTGTGACGTCATCCATTTTTGGAGACGGGTATGGCTGCAGCTTGGAGTCTCATGCCCTCCCGCCTGGTGCCTTCCGCTAATTTTTACATTTCAAAATAAAAGCTTGCGTCTTGTTCAACATTTCTACCTCGTTCTTTGGTGTTTTTGACCTGATAAACGCAGACTATCATGCTAATGATATTGCTATTATAATGATATTCCATCAATCTTTTAGAAATATTGTTTTTAAATGTAATTTCAAGTGTCAAAATGGAAATCGCCAATTATGTTTGGGTTACACACTCCTGTACAGATAGATGGCGGTATGCACCTAAACGTTGTTTGCAATCTGGTGTTAATCAAGAGAAGAAGAAGCAGCAGCAGAAGGAGAAAGTGTCGGCGTCACGTGCAAGTGCAATCAATTGAAAAACGTATAAACTTTTAAATTACAATTTGGCCATAGATACTGTAGCTATACTTCCCCACCCTGGACCCTGCAGCAATTTCTGCGAATGTGTGGGAGGACAGTGATAATGAAGAATAAAATAATAAACATGTTATACTCTTTCCAAGACTCGTTTTTATACGTTTTCTGTATCCTATATTGTTTCCACACTTAATAGGGAAATCGCTGCAAATATAATTGCAAGCATAGGGCCCGTCTAATACTGTAACAGCAGTGGATAGGAATTTCTCCAGCGGGATTTAAAACTACGTTTAAAACAATCTTTCTACCAGATTGCTGGAATACAATATAATAACGATCACAAAATGGATCTTTAGTCTATCTAACGTCTGTATTTAAATTATAGACGGACATATTTTTATTCATTAGCATGAAAGTCTGCATTTATCTTATTGACAGATATTTTATTAAGTATTTTATTCATTCGCATGATTGCCGTAACTATTCAGTTCAAAAACACCAAGTAAGAGGAAGACAGAACGAACCAGACGCAAACTTTTATTTTGCAACGTAGAAGCTAGCGGGAGGCACCACGTGGGAGGGTGTGAGACGGGAGGCTGCAGCCATACAGTCTTGCATTTTTGTGGTTTGTGGACTACTGTTTTGAAGCCTGGAGTTTGGCGCTTTGGCCGTCGGCAGGTTGTTTTTCTTTAGAACCAGAAGTGACCATATTTGGATGAGAGGGTGGAGGTAGCTAGCTTGGTTAACAAGGTGCATCCGTAAATCACATTAACTGTGGGATTCTAATTTTGGCTAGCAAAACACAGGCTTTAAACAAATGTACAGTACATAATAGACTTTTTTTAGTAGAACCAACTGTTGAACAACACCTTTTTAGTCGGCCATAGTCTTACACTTAACTTTCATGAACTGAAAACACACCGTAACTATACACTGTGCAGTGGACAAGATTCGCCTTTATCGACAGGTGTTAGCCACGCCCTAAAGCTTACACCCTTTTATTGTGTTTTTTGCTTTAAATGGGACCATAATTTACAAAATGAACTTAATGCTGTATTAATGAAACTTGAAACTAGCGATTGAGACCATAAACCCAAAGTGTTTACTGAGGTAATAAATCAAATGAGAAGAAGGGTAATTTTCTCATAGACTCCAATGCAATCTCACAACCAGTGGAGTCGCCCCCTAAGACAATTCCACATTGACTTCACTTCTCAGACCTGAAGGTTGCCGCTTGGTTAAACCTAATTTTCTGTCTCCCATCTAGTCATCTCTCCCTCTGTCTCTTTTTCTTTTACATTCTTTATCTCTCTGAGTTCTGATTCATGTTAAAAGCTGTGAACACCAACAGACTGCCTGATAATAAACAGCTCCCATTCACAATGACATTCAGAATGCTTGTTGTAGCATTTGCTTCAACACAAGATGCAAACACTAGACATTTATAATTTATCTCAATTTCGCCACATTTCATAAGATGTGTTTAAATGTTCTTGCCAGGTGGATATATATATGTCTTCACTCCCAATAGAGTTGTCCCCTATTGTTGGTCATCACTTTCTCTGAATGGTTCTCTCTGTGTCTCTCCCCACATTCATTCATTTCCATTCTGTCTGGAAGTTGTTAGATTGCAGGCTGCTAGTACTCAGAGTCATCACATAAGGGAGTCTGTGGCCACGACCTGATGAAAACAACAGCCACAGCTGATTTAGTCGTGTAACCTGAGCTGCCATTGCAATGTTCACATACCATGTCTGTCTCTCTAAAGACAACAGTGCTTTCTCTCTCTCTCGCCTTGCCCATCGCACTCACTTTTTTATTCTCTTTTAATTCTTGTGTATTGACTTAGAGGGCAATCAGACACCATGTTTTCTTTCCATTGCCTTTCATCTGTCTGACCTGTGTGAGCCTTTCTCCCTGACTGCAGTGGAAAATGAAGTGGTTAATACAGCTTTGAAATGTTTCATATGGGTCTCGATGAT